CGCGACCCGTTTGAAGCAGAGCAGCCACCGCGCCACGCCACCGTCCCCGCCCGCACCGCACCTTTCGACGCGCTGCCCGCGCCAAGCCGCCACACGCACGCGGCGTGCGGCGCGCCCGCCACCCGCCGCCCGCCCCACGCGCCACGACGCCACAACGCCGCCCCGCCGCACGCGCCGCCTGCCATAACGCCCTCACCGCATCGCCCGCCCTACACGCCGCCGCCACCCTCACCGCCACACCACCATTGATACCGCTCCCAAACTGTCAGACACCCTCTCTATCTCAAGTCCATCCGCCGCCGCCATGCCGAGGCAGTACCAAGCCTCCCACGACCACCCGCCTCCCGCCCCGATCTAGCGCGTCGCCGCCGCGAGGTACTCCCCTTATATATTTATTGATTGAATTGACATTGTTAGTATAGGAAGTTAGTATAATAAGTAAAGTTAGTATAATTAGTAAAGTATAGTTAGTAAAGTTAGTTAGTTTAGTTAGTATAGGCAGTATAGTAAGTTAGTATAGTTAGTAAAGTTAGTTAGTTTAGTTAGTACAATTAGTGAGTATAGTTAGTTATTGTATTTAGTATAATTAGTTGGTGTAGTTAGTCTTATGTAGGTGTTAATATTTGATTAGTTAATATACTTATAGTTAGAATAGGTATTAATATTACTATGGACAGTACGTACGACGATTTCGACGACTTGACGAAGTTTCTTGAAATGCTTTTGTAAATGAATTGTTGTGTTAGAGTTTTTTACGGAGGAAGTGTTAGGAGAGAAGATGGTATGTTTGAGGATATGGAAAAAGAATTGGAATGGTTTGATGAACCTCCTAGCTTCAACGACCTTTGTGTCCGTTTGAATGCAAAGTTTGACGGTGATTTCACACTGAAGGGGAGGTTTGATACTGGGATGACATGTACGAAGGGGGAGACTTCAACGAGACCCGAGGCAGAAATCTTTGCTCCATTTGCAAAGAACTTGGTCACAAGGCTAGCAGGCATAGAAGACAAGGGTAGCAGGTGCATATAGCATACATTTTATTATATTAATGTTAATTGTTTGCTATGCTATTTAAAACTACTATGTTAGTACATTGGAACTTTGGAGCTATGTTTATTATGATATATGTTTATTCTCTAATTTTGCATAATAGTTTATTCCTTTTTACATTTACTTTGTTTTTATGCACTAATTTTTCATCATATTATAGTACTCTTAATGCTTGTTCTAATATATCCATTTGAAATTTGAACCAGGATGGGGGATCATCATCCGCAGTACCCCATTCTTGAGGTGCACTACGATAAGGACTACCGAGCCAAACGCCTGTCGGAGCTTCAGGAGGACTTGGTACCTCTTAGACTACGCACGCACCATCGCACCGCTAGGACGAGCGATACCGGACGTACATACAGCGTGCCGGCTTCCTTGAGATCGTCCGGGTCTTCAACACTGGGCTACCGATCCTCGACCCTGCACTTCTAACTACTGCTGTCGATAGGTATGATTTGATACACGTTTGCGACAATACAAAGCATTGATTTGTCTCATTGTTTGAATTAAAAAACTTCTTGTATTGAATTAAAAACCAACAGGTGGAGGCCACAGACCCACACCTTCCACCTTTCATGCGGCGAGATGACTATCACGATGTAGGACGTGAAGATGATTCTGTGTCTGCGGTTGGGGGGTCTTCCGGTGACTGGGATCCTCGATAACGATCAATGGATGGACTTGGTGGACAATTCTGTGGCAGAAGATCACCCGAGGACGGTAATGCTAAGAGAGCAAAGTAAGAATTTCTACATTCCAAACATTTACCATTTTGACACCAGCACATATTCTGCAAATTATTTTGCTATTTACATGGAGGGTGTAGTACATAACTATTATGATGCGTATTGTCTTTGTCTAGTTTAATGTTTGTTTTTGTTCCCTCAGCTCTCATGTAACATCCAGTGTCAGCTCTAATTTAATGTTTGCAAAATATTTTAGGAAAACATCTAGTGTCAGTTCGAGCTGGATAACAGAAAACTTCGGGGTGCCGCTGCACCCAAACGCTCCAGAGTAGGAGATCGAGAGGTATGCTAGGGTGTGGTTGTGGCACTTCTTTGGTGCCTTCCTGTTCCTCGACACGTCGGGTAACACCATCAGCTGGGCCTTCCTCAACATACTGAGCCAGCTATGGGAGAATATAGGAGCGTACAGCTGGGGCAGCGCGGTCCTAGCATGGATCTATCGTCAGCTCTGCGTTGCCTACCGATGCAGTACAACAGGCTCCAACCTAGGAGGTTGTTCCCACCTACTACAGGTTTGGTGTTGGGAGCGATGGCCAGTCGGGAGGCCCGTTGTTCACGGTTTATCTGTAAGTGCATCGATTTTTTATTTTCCTCAAATTTGATGCCGCACTTGTGACTAACTATTCTATTAAATGTAGGCATGGAATCACATGGATGTAGGACCGACTACTCTATATGTCTGGCAAGAAGCGGAGGTAGTTAGAGGGAACCCAAAGCGGCGGTACAGGCAGTACTCGGACACGCTAGACATTCTGACACAACACCAGGCAACGACCACTTTGATACTGCTAGTCAGTGTTGTTGCTTTTTTATTATTCTAAAAACCTAACTGTATTACCTAACTTTCAGGTGAATTGGTGTCCCTGGTCCAGATTCGAGCTAGAGGGGTACCTGAGTCCTCGCACTGAGGAAGAGTCGGACGAGTGGCTTTTTAATGGGCCACTAATTTTCTTCCACGTGGTCGAGATGCACTACCCTATAAGGGTGTATAGGTAGTTCGAAAGATTGCAGCCATGCCCACCGCCGTTGTACACAACCAACAGAAAGTTGCACGGATGCGACAACTAAAACATAATAATTTAAAAGTCATGTGCATACATACAACCACAAACTTACATTAAACTTGTAGGTACGATTGAATGAATGGGTACAAGGAGAAGAATTGGGCCGTGATGCACGGCCCGTTCATCCACAAATGGGACAGTCGGCAAAGAGTCCTGATCACCGATATACCGCCACACGACCAACGCATCTTCGACCACTACCTCCAATGGTTGCATAGGAGTACCCGCACACATATGTAGGCCCCCTACACTAACAAGCCAATTGATGAGGACGAAGATGAGGATGGCATCGCTGATGCATACGACGAGGCGACAAGGATGGAGACACAGCTTCAGAGTGCCCTGCTACAGAGATACGTGGTAAGAAATTTGAATTTCAATACAACTGCACGTCGGTGTTCCTATAAATTGTAGTGATACGAACTTAGCTCGCTTGTGTATGCAGGCATCACAGTTGACAAGTCTGTCCAATGAAGCAGCCGTGTGACTTCACGAGACCAGAGGGGAGCCGCACGACATTCTACATGTCTTCGTCGATGTACATTCTATTCTCAAAGCCATGATAGTGGTTAAATGGTTCCCATGACTCATTCAACCGTGTTTTCTTTTTTTGTAGAAAGTGAGGAGGAGCTGCAAGAAGCTGGCACAGAAGCTTAGCTGCGTGGATACTCCATGGGAGATGCCCTATGACCTGGACCTATCTAGTTCCTTACGCTCGAGCACTATACCGACACGAGCAGGTTCCTCCGACACGACGGCTGGTGGGACCTCTTATGTTCGTACTCCCGGCAATCACGGCAAGGGTCCTGCGGAGCACGACGTTGAGGAGGATGAGGATGAGGAGGATGAGGACAAGGACAAGGACAAGGAGGAGGACTACGATGAGATTGGGATGTCTCAGCTTGGTGATGCACCATTTCCTACACAGTTTGACGCACAGGTACTTGAAACAACCCTTCGCTATATACGTCACAATTACTTAAACATTGTAAGTAACGATGCCTATATTATAATTACAGGGTCCTAGTTACACTCAGCAATACCGCCATGTGTACCACCAGCGAGACCGTAACGACGTTGGGTTCACCCCTAACGTGCCGCCTTCACGTTCGAAGAGGCAGCGACGTCTATGGTACCCATATACTCCTGGGTCGTAGGGGTTCTTTAGGATGACATGATTCACTTGTACTCGGACACCCATATACTGATGGAACATGTAGTATATCGAGTAATGTCGAACTTATGTATTGATGAACTTGTGTCGTAGTTATGACTTGCTGAACTTATGTCGAACAGTGGTATTGTCGAACTTGCGATGAACTTGGGACGCGTACAAGTTAGTATTGCTGAACTTGTGTATTGATTGTCTCATGCACTTATCCTTCCTGTTGACCTATTCATTAAACCGACATAACAGAAGTGCCTTGTTCCTTTTGCTGCCGCTTTAACCTATTTGGCTCTGCCGTGCCCTGACGGGTGGCGCGTCACAGCCACGCCATGATGCGTGGCACGTCACAACCACGCCATGATCGGTGGCACGACAGAGCTAAGCCACGTCACCAGTCAGTGGCCCTGGTCTCTGCCACGTACGCTCTCCTGCCGCACTGAATTCGCCGCGCCGTGCGAATAGGAGCGGTCAAAAGTGTTAGATTTGAAAAAAAAAATAAACAGTGTCAGTTTTTAAAATAGTTTAAAAAAAGTGTTAAAAAAAAAAAACCACCGACACGGAGCACGGTAAACCGTAGTCGCTCCAGGAGAAATTTTTTTATTTTTAACACTTTTTGAAACTATTTTCAAATATGACACTGTTTATTTTATTTTTATTTCGAAACTAACACTTTTGGCCTCGCCTATTTGTATGGCGCGGCGAAATCATGTTTTCGCGCCATGCATGGGGCGCGATAGGAGTGATGACGTGGCAGCGACTAGGGCCGCTGAACGCTGATGTGGCTGGGTCTGCCGCGCCGCGGATCTAGGTGCGGCACTAATGCACCATAGAGAATGGCGTGGCAATACTCCTAAGGAGGACAGTTACTTGCCGAATATTATTCAAGTCCGGTGGGGCGGCGACCCTCGTCACTGTCTGCCTCCTTGTCCTTGGTCTGCAACTGAAAGACTTTCTCTGCCTTTTTTCCAGGAGACGGTGACGCTCAAGATCCGGCTACACTACGACGGCTATGTCGACCGCATCAAACGCCACATCTCCAAGATCAAAGGTGAGGTTTTGCTTCATATCCGCCACGGTTTTGTTCCCATCCCATCCCAAGCGAATCGTCAAAAGGCTATGAGCCTTTTCATCGAGATTTAATATTGGACTGGACCTGACAATTTTGTGCATTGATTGATTCCATTCAAGGCGTGAAGGATGTGGCATTCGATACCGCCAAGGACCTGGTGAAGGTGACCGGCACCATGGACGCCACCGCTCTGCCGGCTTACCTCAGGGAGAAGCTCAGCCGGGACGTCGAGGTCATCGCGCTGGGAAAGAAGGATGGTGGCTGCGATAAGAAGGACAAGGGCGTAGGAGACGGGGGAGAGAAGAAGAAGGACGGCAGGGGCGAGGAGAAGAAGGACAAGGCCACGGCCTCCTCCGTGTCAGTGGCGCCGATGCCCCTGGCCGACGTTGGCATGTACCAGATGCCCCCGCACTACGGGTATGGCACGTAGACGCCGGCTCTTGGCGGCTACTATGGCGCCGCCCCGCCACCCAACCATGCCAGCTTCTACCCCAACGCCAGTGTCCATTACCCACCCCCATAGGCCTAGAATTTTTTTTTATTTTTAATACTTTTTGTAAACTAATTTTAAATCTAACACTATTTTTTTTTAAAACTAACACTTTTGGCCGCGCCTATTGCCATGGCGCGGCTGTCGGGAACCTAATACCGAGGTACCCAAGGAGATGGAACTAATTACCATCGAACGTTAAAAACTCCCGAACGGACAAAGAACACCGCTACGCTTCTTGCCCGAACGACGAGAGTTTTGGTTCCGCCTCGCCCGATGCCCTTCAGCCAGCTCCGCCTCCCCCGACGGCTAGGGGACGTCTCCACCTCGCTCGAGGCCCATCGGCCAGCTCTGCCTCCCCTGACGGCTGGGGGACGGCTCCTCCTCGCCCGAGGGCTGAGGGCTAGACTCCACCTCGCCCGAGGCCCGTCAGCCATTTCCGCCTCCCCCGACGGCTGGGGGATGGCTCTGCCTTGCCCGAGGGCTGAGGGCTAGACTCTGCCTCGCCCGACCGCCAAGGGCTAGGCTCCGCCTCGCCCGACCCCCGAGGGCTGGGTTCCGCCTCGCCCAATGTCCAAGGATTGGCTCCGCCTCGCCTGACAACTATACCCCGCTCCCTCATGATGCTAGGCACAGGGTAGGACAAGACGTTCGGGTCAACCGCGGCATCAAGGACCATGCCCTACACCCCTACAGGAGAGTACCGCCAGGGCATGACGGGACAGGCGCTTAGACCCTTCCAGGCGTAGCAGAGCCTGAATAGTATTGCAGGCGCATGCTCTTCGCCCTACAGTGTTGTAGGCGCCGCCTTCAAACCACCAGGCAAAGAACTCGACACGGACATACGACAACCACTACGCTCTAAGGAGAGACTCATGTCCTCTATAATGGCAGAACAAGCAGTCACTGCGACATCCGCTCCCTACGGGGTCGGGGTTCAGCAACCCTGTCCGACGCACCGCCCGTAGGGGCGGGATGGGACGCACCCACTTGCTAAAAGAGGCCAGGGCATGGCCTATGAAGATCAGCGAACACACCACTTCTGACACGGTCTGCCATGTTATACAGGGCAGACGCTGGGAAAAAGGAAGACCCAAATCTTTCGAAGGACATTCTATACCCTTGGTATTTTCCTCTTTCTCCCATCTGTAACCCCTGCTCCCCCCTTGGTCTATAAAAGGGAGGGCTAGGCTCCCCACTAGAGGGACAGACAAAAAATGAACAACTGACATACAGACAAACTCATAGAGGGTTCAGTTCAACTCACATACACAGCCAAGCCACCGTCAGGCTCTTGGCCTCCTTTTGACCCGTCCATCAGAGACCTGGGACCAGTCCCTCTCTCGACCGTTTATACCCCCTACTATGAACCGCTTTCAGCGCTAATAACACGAGCAGCAATAGACTGGACATAAGGACATTCAGCCCGAACCAGTATAAACCTTGTGTCCTTTAGCGCACCATCCGGGCCTAACGCGCATAATTATAAATTTACTAGCCGGTGCTTGTTTGAAACACCGACAGTTGGCGCGCCAGGTAGGGGTCCCAGGCGCACACGTGCGCTTCGGGGGCCTAGATTTTGTCATCACGGTGGGAGGAGAGTTGGTACGGGCATAGACCACCATTCAATCTCTCCCCTCCATCGTCCTCGACCACAATAAGTGTGGGCGCTAGCTCGGCATCTCCCTTGGACCCCAGCAATCCAGGGAGAACCGGCGTTGCCTCGCCCTTCCCAACGACGACGACGTGGCACGACCTTCCAAAGAGGGGCACCTCTCTCTGGAGCACCACGTGCGGAGCGCCCCGACAACGCTTCCGTTCGGTCTCCACAACGCCGCAACGACCGCTTGCCGCTTGGTGGCACTACGCATGGTTCAACCACCCACGGACAGCGAGTTCGTGGGGGTAATTGAACACGACACAGAGTCCATCCACAAACTCCTCACCGAGGAGCCAGAGTCATCCTCCAGCTCTGACTCCAGCAGGGGGAGCCATCACCCTTCCCGGGAATGCTTCATGGCGGAAACCTCCGAGGGGCACGTCGAAAGCGTCTCCGAGAGGGAGGCCACCCCGATAGCCAACCCTGACGCCAGGACCACCGGGGAGGTGGTGGCTCCATCCCACGTAAGGATGGAGCAGTTGAGAGCACGAAAGCTAGAGATCGATGACGCCGGACAACAGCTTGTTTGGGAGTATCGAAAGGTCGATGAGGAAATCAAGCGTCGCAGAGACGGTGGGCACGCACGCACCACCGCCCGTAACGTACAGCAGAGGATCCTCACCGATGATGGGACCCTCCCTCACTTTGCTCGGGCAAGTCAGAACATCGCCGCTGCAATGGCCTTGTTTCACGGCCTTCCAGAGGCTGCGACGACCGAGGATCACTGGGCGTGCCAAGAAATTCGCACGTTGCTCGAGCGTGCGGCAGCGCAGCAGGCGGAAAGCTCATTGTCTCGGCGATGCGAGCCCGACACCAGCCAGCGCACGCCCTCGGTGCGCCTCCCCAAGGATGCATCGGTTCACCAGACACCTCCAGACGGTAGGCGACACACCCCTGTTCTGGTGCATCAATGTCTCAGCCACAACCGCGACGCACGCAGCACCATCGACGCCCGCAGACGCGCCTACAACGACTCAAGAGAAGGAGCCAAACGCAGCTACCACCCTCGGCGTGGCGGACGCTATGACAGCGGTGAGGACCGAAGCCCGAGCCCCAGCCTACCGGGCCCTCAGGCCTTCAGCCGGCACATCCTCAACGCTGCTATCCCGCCAAGGTACCGACCGCCTACCAACATCCCTTAAATATTCTAGAGAAATGAACCCCGGGCTTTGGCTTGAAGACTATCGGCTTGCCTGTCAAGCCGATGGCGCGAATGATGACGATTTCATTATTCACGATCTCCCACTATTCTTGGCCGATTCGGTGCGAGCATGGTTGGAGCACCTACCGCCCAACGCCATTCAGAGTTGGGCGGACTTAAGGGAGATCTTTGTGGGAAACTTCCAGGGCACGTACAAGCGCCCCGAGAACTCATGGGACCTCAAGAACTGTCGCTAGAAGGCCGATGAAACCCTCCGCGGGTACATCCGGTGCTTCTCCTGGCAGTGCAACGAGCTCCCTAATGTCGCCGATGCCGACGTGATAGGAGCCTTCCTATCCGGGACCACCTGCGAGTCTTTGGTCCATTAACTGGGACACAAGGGCCCGCGGACCACCAAGGAACTCCTGGACATTACCACCAGCCATGCCTCAGGAGAGGAGGCAGTCGGAGCGATCTTCGACTGTTCTGATGGCAAGGCAAGGCGGGTCTAGGGCGAAGGCGCCTCCAACCGTTCCACCAAAAGAAAGAATAAGAAGCAACGGCGTGACGACTCGCTCGTGGCCGCTACCGACCGCAAGGGGGGCCAGAAGCCCACGAAGGGCACTCCGAACCACTTCGAAAAAATGCTCGAGGGGCCGTGCCCGAACCATGCTTTCCCGGCCAAGCATCTGTACAAGGATTGTGGCCTCATGCGCAAATACTTGTCCGGAGGCCTCAACAAAGGGGAGTAGGGGAAGGAGCCTACCCCCACCACTGACGACACCGAGGAGAAGGACGATGCCTTCCCAATGCCGAGCGGCACCCTCATGATCTTCGGAGGATCAACGGCCTACGACTCCAAACGCCGCCAGAAGGTCGCGCGCCGTGAGGTCTACACGGCCGGACTGGCCATGCCTGCCTTCCTCCGGTGGTCTGAATCTGCCATAACCTTCGACCGGGCCAACCATCCAGATGCCGTCCCACACCCAGGAAGGTAGCCTCTTGTGGTTGACCCAATCGTCGGCCCAAAACGGCTCACGAAAGTACTGATGGACGGAGGCAGCGACCTCAACATCTTGTACGCAAAGACGCTTGACGAGATGGGCGTCGACCGGATGAACCTCCGCCCAATCCGAGCGCCTTTCCATGGCGTCATGCCTGGCAAATAGGCCGTGCCGCTAGGGCAGATTGATCTGCCCGTCACTTTCGGGGATCAGTCCAACTATAGGACTGAGACCCTCACCTTTGACGTGGTAGGATTCCCGGGAACCTTCCACGCCATCCTAGGCCAACCATGTTACACGAAGGTCATGGTCATCCCCAACTATACATACCTCAAGCTAAAGATGTTGGGCCCTCGTGGGGTCATCACCGTCGGCACCTCCTTCCAACGCGCTTACGAGTGTGAAGTCAAATGCTGCGGCCACGCTGCCGCGGTCGTCGCCTCTAGGGAACTCGCCGCGCTCAGGGAGGAGGCTGCCAAAAAAACAACCGATGCGGAGAAATCAACCAGGTCGTTCGAATCGGCAGAGGGCTCCAAGGAGGTCCTCGTAGACCCCAGCAGCTCCGAGGAAAAAATGGTATGCATTGGTACCGCACTCTCCTCCGAATAGGAAAGCGCGCTCATCGACTTCCTCCGCGACAACAAAGACATCTTTGTGTGGAAACCCTCGGATATGCCAGGCATCCCAAGGGAGGTTGCCGAGCATATTTAAAAATCCACCCAGGCTCCAAGCCGTTAAAACAACGCCTGCGCCGCTTCGACGAGGAAAATTGCAGGGCCATCGGTGAAGAAATAACAAAATTGTTGGCCACCGGATTCATCAGGGAAGTACACCACCCAGAGTGGTTAGCAAATCCCGTTCTTGTACGAAAGAAGAGCGGGAAATGGAGGATGTGTGTCGACTACATAGGTCTCAACAAGGCGTGCCCAAAGGACCCGTTTCCTTTGCCACGCATAGACCAAATAGTCGATTCTACCTCAGGGTGCGAAACCCTCTACTTCCTTGACGCCTACTCCGGCTACCACCAAATAGCGATGAGAGAGTCCAACCAGCTCACGACATCTTTTATCACCCCCTTTGGATCATTCTGCTACATCTCAATGTCGTTCAGTCTGAAGAACGCCGGGGCAACTTA